CTGGAATTATGCAAATAAAGTAACTAATATGTTCATACCCTTTGAACCAGACATGTCATGATCAGGCTTATACCCAATGGAAGCCATCAACAAAGAAGAAAATCCCCATATGCTCCAAAATATTTATTGCTGCACTTTTTTTGATAGTAAAGAATTGGAAACAAAGTAGATGTCTATCAATTAGGAAACAGATAAACAAATTGTGGTACATGGAAATAATAGTGCTATAAGAAATTGTGTGTGTTTGCATGTGTGTATGTGTGTCTGTGTAATGAATACAGAGAAGCATAGAAAGATCTATGTAAATTGATGCAAAGTAAAGTAAGCAGAGCCAAGAAAACAATATACACAACAACCACAACAATATAAATGGAAAGAACAATAACACACCAAAAAATCAAAGTAAATTTAACAAAATTATAAAGATCAAACAGAACTCACCTGAATAGATATGAGAATCTACCCCTGCATGAATGTGGGAGTTCCACAGGTTTTACACATTGCATATATTTTCAGACTTTTTCAATGTACCTATCAGTTGTACTTCATTTTTTATTCCTCTCTAAAAATAGTATTTGTCATATAGGATAGCTCACTGGGTACAGGAGGGGAGAGGGAGAGATACTAAGGATAACTATGTCAAAGTAAGAAATAGAAAAAAAATCAATAAAATTCATTTTAAAAAGCCTAACAGATTCCCTTCACTCCCTACTCCTTGACAAGGCAAGCAATTTGAGGGCAATTACATCTTTGTTGTCATGCAGAATATTTTTATTACCCATGTTGCATAAGAAAACACAAACCAAAAAAAACTTGAATAATAAGGAAAAATTTAAAAGTATGCTTTGATCTGTATTCAGAGTCTATCAGTTCTTTCTGTGGATATAGATAGCAGTTTTTCATCATAAGTCCTTAGGAATTCTCTTGGATCACTGTATTACTCAGAATAGCTAAGTCATTTACAATTGATTGTTGTACAAAATTATTGTTACTGTTTATAATGTTCCCTTGGTTTGGCTCACTTGACTTTGCATCAGTTCCTATAAATCTTCTCAGGTTTTTCTGAAACCATCCTGCTCATCATTTCTCATAGTACAATAGTATTCCATCATAATCTTGTACCACAATTTGTTTAGTTACTCCCCAAATATTGGACATCATGTCAATGTCCAATTCTTTGTCATCATAAAAAGAGCACTATAAACATTTTTGTATTTCTAAAAAACAAAAATAAAAAAACCCCAAGCCTAATAGAGGAGTTTACATTTTATCTAAAAGAAAACAGGGAGACAACACAAGTTTTTGAGTATCTTTTTTAAAGTCAGTGTCATTGGCATTCTCCAAAGAATTTGTGCTCTGGGCCATACTGAACCTCTGATACTAGAGTTCTTATTTCTCAGAATGGTGACATGTGCCTTTCTGGATACTCCAGGTTTTAATAAATGCACCAACCCAGAAGCTCTCTGATTTGCTTTCTGTATTATATGGGGATCCAATCTAAAATGTCTCCCAATGTTTTCTTTGCTTGTCTGATACAATCATTTGCATATCATCACCATTATCACCACCCACCCTACCATCACCATCATCATCAAAATCCAATTCATTATCCATTGTCATTATAATGAGAGTGGGTAGACAACAGAAAAATAAGGAAATGCCAGTCAGGGTGATATAAAGTAGTTAGCCTGAGCACTGAAACCACCATGGTAGCTATAAAGGCCTGGCAGGAACCATGAATTGCTGGCCAAGTGAGTTCTGGATTGGATTAGCTCCCTAGACTGTGCAATAAAAATCCTTCTATGAATCCAAGAAATAAATGGGGTGACATAGAGTTGTTGTCTTGTGGAAACTTGACATTAATCAGCTTGACACTGAGTGCAGTGGAGTGAATGGCAGTCCTTTGTTCTACTGTAGCATAAGAAGGCAAAATATTTGGGAATAAATCAGAAATGCCAGTACCTGCTGGAATGCTTCAGTACAAATGGCACTGAATGCTAAATTAGGCAAACCATGATTGTACATTAAATGTACTGAAGACATGAATACTTTCATTATGTACCAGTATTACATCAAAAACAATTTGATTCCTAAGACTACATTAGATGAAACTGAAGAACTACTAAAATAAAAAGAGAAAAATTGGAAATAAGTGTTACCATTTATAGGTAGGTAGGTGTGTGTGTGTGTGTGTGTGTGTGTGTGTGTGTATAATATATGTAGTCTCAGCTCCAAGTCAAACATCAGTGTATTATTGACCAGTACAGGGCAATTATAAAAATGATTTGATTCCTAAGCTTAGATGAAATCAAGGCGCTACTAAAATCAAAACAAGGAAGAGTTGAAGACTCTGAAATCATTGAAAATTCTCACATGATGCAAATTCTAGAAATTATACCTAAAAACAAAACAAATGACAAAAACAGGTATACTTAGACTAGAATTTCAAAAAGCTCTTTTTAAATTTGGCTGTGTGAATTCAAGTAGGAGAATGATTATAATAAAACTGAGTAACATTTTTAAAAGTTAGAATTTGTTATACCCATCATGAAAAAATACATTCTCTGACAATATTTGGCGGAAAGTGGAAAACATTTCAGTGCTTGCACTCAGCAATATTATGCAGTAGTCATTGCCATGGTAAAAACCACCGGAGAAAAACAGGAAGAATAAAGAAAGTCCCCTAAAGGCAGACATCAAATACCAACATGTCAGAAGCAACTCAGGAGAGCTGTTGAAGAGTTTCAGAGAGGCAAGTGAAAATTACATTAATATCTACACATATACATGGTTGAAAACTTGAACTCTCAACTAAAGGCAACAAAAAATAAATATGTGGGGAAAGATCTGGAAATCAAATCCTAGATTTCCTTAATTGATATTTGAAAACAAATATTAAAAGCAAAGTTAAAGGGAGAAGGCAATAGTCAGAGCAGCACAGATAATAAAATAAGCAATTAAAAATCAGTAAAATTTACTATAGACTCTTGAGAAGTAAAGAATTCAGGAGTGAAAGGGAATCCCCAATGACAAAGGATGTAGATAATTTTTGGTCAAGTCCAAGAAATCCAATACAAGGAAATGTAAATTTCATCAAATAAGAAACAAAAAACTTGTGCATTGTTAATATAATGAATGATAGAACAGTTACAGCAAGTTAGAAGAATGAAACTTTAGTGTCTTTGTAAAACTGAAAAGTTGTGTGGCCAAATAAGATTAACAATTATTGACTCAAATGTTTCACACTGGAATGTGAATTACTAACAGATCACTTTGCTATATTCTTGGCTACAAATCTGATCTTACTTTTTTTTTTTTACAGAGAACTCAGTAACCCTTCAAATACAGGACATATGTGTATTCTTTATAAAGTAGCCACAACTTGTATTACCAAAAACATTTATAAACACATAAAAGAAAATAACATTGGCTGAGGAGCAAAAAGAATTTGCCAACAAGTCCCAGGAGTATCAGGAGCAACATATTATTGTTTAGTAATTATTGAACAAGTTGCTAAAAAAATGTTTTAACATTTATACTATCTTTGTTGATTATGGCAAAGCCTTTGACTTGGTTCTGTATTAACAGCTTATAATGTATTTCAGATATAAAAAATAGATGCAAGAATAGTGAGAATGTTAGGAATACTTAATTCCACGTGAAAACTATTTTCCATTAAAACATGCTAACAACTATAATTCCAAGAGTAATTCATATGAAATACGGCATTTTTAAGGGAGGCAGTTTAATCTTAGTGTTAAATCCATTAAAATCCCTCCTAAATAGAATCTTAAGTTTGGCTTTCAAATTAAAGAGGGTGTTGAACCAAATATTTTATTAATTGATGGAAAAAGACATAAAACAGCTCTTTCATCTCAAGGAATCTTATTCTTGTGAAATCAAAATGTCATTTCAATGTGTTAAGTCTAACTTCTTTGTTGCTGGTGTTGTTCAGTCATTTTAGTCATGTCCAACTCTTTGTGATCCCATTTAATGTTTTCTTAGCAAAGATAGTGGAGTGGTTTGCCATTTCTTTCTCCAGCTCACTTTATAAAAGATGAGGAAACTGAGGCAAACAGGATTAAGTGATTTGCCCAGGACCACATAGCTAGTAAATGTCTGAGACTAGATTTGAATTTGATTCCAGGCCTGGCACTCTATCCACTGCACTGACTAGCTGCCCTTGGCACATATGAAGAGCTTAATGAATGTTTATTAATTGATTAATTGATTGATTTGGAAGATGATGAAATTGAGATCTAGAAGGATGTGTCCAAGGTCATGTTCAGTAAGTGGAAGGACCAGGATGGGATACAGACCCAAGTCTCTTGAACAAGTCACAGGATAACTTGCTCTTAACCTTAAGGAATCTTCAGAAGCAAAACAGCCACTCCTCAGTGTGGTTCCTTTGCTCTAGTCTTCTTTATTGTTATCCATATATGTCTTGCACATACCTGCCTTAGGTTTATTCAGCTAATGTCCCCTTTCCCTCTAGGCTTAGAGTTCATTCTTTAAATCTCTTTGACCTTGTATATTGGGTGGGGGTAAAGTTAATTTGCTAACCCCTCCACATATTCCTTTTAGGCCTCTTCCCAACTAATAGGGGTTGTAGTGAGAAAAGAAGTTGGTGCATATCATTGCTATATGTAGCCCATTTTTTAGCTGGGACACTGGATGCCTAATTTCCTGAAGGAATATGTGGCACCAGCAAACCTTGATCTCTTCTATTGCCACATTAATCAACCTGGAACACACCTAAGCATTGTATCTTAGTTGTAAGAGGTAAGAGGGTAGGAAAGAAAAAAAGGGAAAAATAATTTCTTTACATCCTTCATTTTAAAACATTATATATATATATATATACACATATATACACACACACACATACACACACACACACACACACACACACACACACACACACACACACACACACATATATATATATATAGCCATCTGACCAGAGAATGGACTATTCTTATTGTTTTATTTATTTTTAGGGAGGTGCTCTGTGTGGCCTTCCTCTATCTCCGGGTAATCAGTGGCTGTGCTGATGGGAAGATACGCATATATAACTTCTTGAATGGGACCTGTCTGAAGGTGATGAAAGCCAATAGCAGAGGTGACCCAGTGCTGTCCTTCTTTATTGAGGGCAACAGGTGGGTGGTAGATGTGGAGGTCAGAGCCACGAGCAATTCTATTTTGGATGATTCTACTCATCTCTTTTCAGATTTCTCATAGCACTTTGTCTGGACCTCTCCTTTGAACTAATCACGTTCTGCCGTGTATTATAGTTATTTTATTTACATGTTTTATCCCCTATCAGGTTGTAAGCTCCATGAGGGCAGGGAACATATTTTGTTTCATCTTTGTATTCCCTCGGAGTCTAGCACAATGCTTTGGACATATGAAGTGCCTAATAAATTTGTTAAATATTATTGAATTCTGGGAAACCTTCCCTCAATTTGCTAATAAGGGGATTGATGCAAGTGATACTGCAGTGGTAGAATGAAACTTAGCAACTAATGAATACAGGGAGTAAGGAAGAGGGAAGAATTAAAGAGACCTCTGGGGAATCAAATATAGATATCTGGGGCAATGGTATTAATTTTTAAAAAGAGATCTTTGGAAGGAAAGGCAAGTTTGAATGGCATAGAAGGGTGGTAAGTTTAAGTCTGAGGTTCTGACAGTATATTCAATTGGAGATGTCTAACAGACTATTCGAGCTATGGGACTAGATTTTTGGGGAGAGATTGGAGCTATATACATAGATTTGGGGTTAATGTGTGTAGAGGTTGAGGGGAATAAATAAGCTCACCAAAAGAGAGAGTACAAACGGAGGAGAAAATGACCAAGGACAGACTCTTTAGAATTATCTACATTTAGAGGGTGAGCTGGAACAGATTAGGGTTAGAATTGTTCTCTTTGGGCCTAAAGAGTAGAACTAAGAGCAATAGGTGGAATTTGGAAAGAAATACATTGGGACCTGAAGTAGGGGGGAGAAAAACTTTCTAATAATTATATCTACCCAAAAGTGGAATAGGCAGGGGGCAGCTAGGTGGTACAGTGGATAGAGCACTGGCCCTGGAGTTAGGAGTACCTGAGTTCAAATCCAGCCTCTGACACCTGACATTTACAAGCTGTGTGACCATGGGCAAGTCACTTAACCCTGATTGCCTTGCCAAAACAAATAAACAAAGTGGAATGGGCAGCCTTGTGAAGTAGTGGGTTTCCCCTCATTTGAGGTCTCCAAGCAAGGCTGGATGGCTATTTTCTGGTATCTTTAAGAAGGGATTGTTTTTCCGGTCTAGGTTGGAATAGATAGACTATGAGGTCCTTTCAACTATGAAATTCTGTGATTCTCACTAAAAGTATGAGTATATATACCATCTGATTACAACTATTATGGGAGAATGGATTTGGGGGCCAGATGGGCTTTGCAAAAGTCTTAGAAACCATCTGGGAGTCAAAAACAACACTTTGTTACTAAGCTTTTCTACATTTGGAGGAAAATCATTTAAGTTTTTTGAGCTGGAGTTCCCTTATCATAAAACAGGGTGCCATTCTTTTCTACACTATAGTTTTGCTACTAAGAAGTTCTTTCGTTATCATCTTTCACACACTTACTTACCTGCTAGCCCTAATTGTCCATAATCTCACACTTCTAATCAGAAGAGCATTATAGGAAGGAATATGTATATGTGGGTGTTACAGTGAGTAGAAATGCTGAAAGAGTTGAGTGCACAAAAATATTTAGTATCATTGAGTTCATTATTCATTACAATGTGTTTATTATATTCTAAACACAATATTAAGAACAAATGCATTACCTTATAGAGCAAAGTGGAATTAAGTTGATTCTACTGATTTTTCTATATAATTTGAGAAAACTAACTTAATTTCCCTCAATTGCAAAATGGAGCTTTAGGTAATACTCTTTCTCTCTCTTAAAAGTAGGATAGTAAGTACTTTATAAAGGTAAAATAAAAAAATAACAATGTTGGCAAATGAAAAATGTTATAAAATTATGACTAACTTGCTTAACTTTTATGATTTATGAAGAGGAAGCTGTGTGGCACAGTAGAAAGAATGGTGGATCTGGAGTCAGAGGACCTAGGTTTGATACTCAGTCTCATTATTTATCTGTGTAGCTTTGAGCAAAACACTTAGCCTCTCTGGGCCTCATTAACTTCTAAAATGAGCCTTGAAGATGCCACCTAGTCCTGAATCTATCATCCTGAAAGATGATTTGCTTTTAACTGATTAAACATTACTTTCCAAGAGGAACTTTTCATATCAATATAAATCACAAATGGTTCCCAAGGCCTTTCCAGTTTTTCTAGGGGGAAAAATTATTTTTGTTCACAGATCAAATAGAAAATGTAGCTAAAGTTTTCTAGATATTTTGAGCAACTGAAATGAGTTGATGGTAGACTACAGTCAGCAACCTTTTAAAACAAAGTTCTAGAAACTCTCTCTAGAGTAAAAAGCAAAGAGAACATTAGTGATGCAATGTCTTACAAAAAGATACTGCCCTTCTGCAAAAAAATACAGAATGCTTATCTTTGACAAGATAGAGTGAAAAAATAGAATAAGAAAAACAGATCTGCCATTAAATTTGCTAAGCCCAGCAATTTTCAGAGTCCCATTACACGTCAGTCTTGATTCAGTAATGTTAACACATACTTGAATTCATAAACATTTACTAGAAAGGCTGTACTCAGTCTGAGGCCACAAGAATATGTTTCTGAGCCTCTTTCCCTTAGTACTCAGCACTTTCCAATCTGTAGTACTAGTTCTTATCTCAAGCATCTGACAGTCATTTGAAGACTTAGAGGCACTTAAAAATATTGTGAACTAAGCACCTAAAAACTCAAAATAAACTCTTACCTATAATATTCAGGATTCCTGAGCTGGAAAAATGACCAAGTCCAATGTAACACATACCTATTTTGGATGAAGACAAAAGCCATGCCTACTTATTTTTGAGAAAGGACTAATAAGGTTGAATGCTGTATTTTGAATCAGAGGACTTGAGTTAAGGGACTCTATCTCTTAGTTACCTTGGGTACCAGTTTCTTTATGTGTAGAATGAGAGGATTAGACTAGACATCTAAGGTCCCTTTTATCCCAAATTATAGTCTTGTGAATTTTTCCAACTGGCCATATTTACTATATGGCCTCATTGGCTGCATCTATCAAATAGATGCTTTGGGAATTTTCATTCATGTTGTGTAGATAAAGTGGAACAAGTCTTGCTATTTTCACTTCATGTGGCTACTCTTCTCTTTTGCTGGAAGCCTGATTAAATGTGTCTGTCTTGAGGTGTTATTTTGGTCCTAGGATGGTGATCAATACAGAGAGCAACGTTGTGATGTTCGAGTTTGAAGAAGTTAAATGGCAGTATTACTCAGACAAGAATAAACCACTTACCAAGAAACCCAAGGAGAAGGAAAAGGAAAACAATGTTTCCTCTGCAAAGGAGTATAGAACCAGTTATCCAAAGATATACCTTGAAACTGAAGCTAAGTATACTGGTAAATGATTTTGTGAATACAAAGGCAGAGAGGGTTGGGAGGAACTAATCTTATAGGAAGGGGGTTATGGTGGGGCTGTTGTAAAATTATTCTCACCAGATAATCTGTTGATTATCTAAGGTCCCTTTCTTCATTCCATTTGGAATGGAGTTGTCTGTTTTAGCGATTCATTTATCATGTGATTAGAGACATAATCCATGCTACTTTTTTTGTCTTCTTCCTAATGTACAACCTCAAGCAATATTTTCTAAGGAAAGAACCATGAAAACGGCATATCTTGCTTACACATCTGAAAGATATCTTATTTATTTGAGGAATATGGAAGCCCCAGGAGAGTTTTTCCTCTAGGCACATACATTATTACAAAGCTGATATGTTCTTAGGCACATTAAATCCTCCTCTGGAATTTATCAGTCCTCTGGGATTGGTATAGGAAATTGGATCAGTTGATCACTCCATAGGAAAATTAATAGGCCAATCCTCTCTGTCACTAGGTCATTAAATGAAGGCTATAGATGGCTTAGACTTGTTAAGCAATGACAGTGGTCCAAACCAAGATTTATATGATATTGAATATAATAGAGATCAATGGGTAAAGGCCATATGAATTGTTAGTTAGTTGCCCTATCACTCTGACTCAGTTGAGGTATATCCTTACATAAGTTTCCCGTCAAGAATTAACTCACTGTCTTCTGCATTGGTAGAGTCAACAATGAATCAAGACAGGTTATCTTGAAGCTATGTTCAAACTGGTGTCAAGAAGCAGTCTTACTCTTTTTCTTTTTAAAATTTTTTTTCAATTTATTATTTTTAACATTCTTTTCTTCTTAAATTTTGAGTTCCAAATTCTCTCCCTCCCATTCCCTTTTCCACCCAATGAGAAGGCAAGCAATATATCAAGTATACATGAGAAATCATGTAAAATATAGTTCCATAATAGTCATATTTTTTAAAAAAACAAGAAAAAGAAAATGAGAAAATTATACTCCAATTTGCATTCAGAATTCATCACTTCTCTCCCTGGAGGTGGGTAGCATTTTTTCGTCATGAGTCCTTTGGAACTGTTTTGGATCACTGATCAAAGAAGCCAAGTCTTTTGCAGTCGATCATCATTACAGCATTGCTTTTACTGCGCACAATGATCTCCCAGTTCTTCTCACTTCATTTTGCATCAGTTCATGCTATGTTTTTCTGAACACACTCCCTTCGTCATTTCCCACAGCATAATAGTACTCCACTACAATCATATGCCACAACTTAAGCCATTCCCCAACTGATCAGCATCCTCTCGATTTCCAAATCTTTGCAAACACAAAAAGAACTCCTACAAATATTTTTTATATGTAGGTCCTTATCCTTTTTCTTTGATCTTTTTGGGATACAGACCTAGTAGTGATACTGTTGGATCAAACAGTATGTATAGTTTTATAGCCCTTTGGGCCAGTCTTCCTTTTCCTAAGGAAGATAATAACACAGACTTTTCCCTAGGAGATGCTGAGTCTAAAAGATACTCAGATAATTTCTCTGAAGCAGTAGAGAGTTGATACTTTTTGTTTTCTATTCAGGCATAGATGGACTTCTGATAGACTTTTTAAAATTTGAAATGGGTAATCATTTTGTCATCTTTCTATAAGCCTGTTAAAAATTAATGGACATAAGTTTTTCTTCAATGTACTTTCACTACCTCAAGGTCACAAAAGGCAAGAAGTCCTGGTACAGGTCAGTGTAGGAAGTAGCTGCTGCATATCAGTTCTCTCCAAATGTACTTATTTACCCTCGCTGTCACATTCCTAGTTTTCTCTGAACTCTGCAGTAAGGGAATACAAGATGAATGAATGGGAAAGGCATGCATTCAATCATCCAGAACCTCTTCATCCCATTTTTTCTTTAGTCTGCCTCCTACAACCAACCACTATTTCCCTGTCAAGTTACCAAAATTTGATAGCCCCCTTGGTTCAACATGGTTTATTTTAATTAACCTGTATTTATTAGATTCTTTTTTTTTTTTCATGCAATTGGGGTTAAATGACTTGTCCAGGGTCACACAGCTAGTAAGTGTCGAGTGTTTGGTCTGACGCCGTATTTGAACTCAGGTCCTCCTGAATCCAGGGCCGGTGCTCTATCGACTGTGCCACCTAGCTGCCCCTGATTTATTAGATTCTGACTTGAAAGAGTTTAGGACTAGAAATTATGAGAGGCAGAATCTGGTCCTGGGTCTGCTACTAGTCATGTGCTCTTATGAGAGTCACTTTATCTCTTTGCATCCCAATTTTCCAATCTGTCGAATGAGGGGGTTAGACTAGATGATTAAAAAAAAACTCTTCCAGAATTTTATGGTTTATTAAAACAGTCACAGAATGAGAGAACTGTTGCATGTTCTAGAAGTGTTGGTTACCAATTTTGAATCTGTGTCAGTTTCTGGTGAGTTGGTTGCTGCTACAATATTCGAAGATGAAGTGAAACATCAGTCAGTTACTTTCCATATGGTAATGGGACAGATATTAGTGAGAATGTTTTAAAAAAAGAAAGAAGATAATGCTGAAACATCTTAAATTTACACTTTAACTATGGCTTGCTTTCTGTGAGTACTTAGATATGCAACCTAACCTCTCTGTGACCATATTTTTCTGTCTGTAAAAAGGATATCATATTTAACTGTCTTGGGATTGATGTAGGGAAGAAATAATGTAATTGTACAAGGCAGTGGGTATCAGAGAAATGCTGTTTCTGTCAAGATTGATTTAGAAAACAGTATTAGTAAATTTCAGTGGCAATAAAGAAGTACAACCATTACAAGAACTAGTTAAAGATTAAATTCAACATAAAGATTCTTTGAAAGTTGGCCTAAACTCTGTGGTGAATAGGCATGGGACTAAAGAGCAGGAAGGGATCTTTGATATCATTTAGGACCTCTTCATTTTACAGATGAGGTCCAAAGAGATGAATTAATGTGCCAGAGGTCACATGGTAGCAAGACAGAATTCAAATCTAGATCTTTTTTTTTTTTTGGTCAGGCAATTCGGGTTAAGTGACTTGCCCAGAGTCAGACAGCTAGTGAGTGTTTTGTATCTGAGGCCTGATTTGAACTCAGGTCCTACCTGACTCCAGGGCCAGTGCTCTATCCACTATGCCACCTAGTTGCCTCATAATCTAGATCTTCTTAATCAAAATCTAGTACTCTTTTTTACTAAAACAGGTTGACTTTTGTTATAAGCTAGTCAAAAACAATAGTGATATCATAGACAAACTTCACAACTTTGCCTTAGGATGAGCTTGAGAAATTCAAGGGTAAGCATGAGGGTCCCAGCCACAGAATATTCAGATGCTTCTCCTAGTCAACACAGGAAGGGTAGTTTGGAATATAGTGTGATCTTACTTTGTGTAGCGAAAATATTTTTCCAGGAAGCACTTTCTGTTGGGCAGGTTCCTATAGGAACATTCAGCAAAAAGACATATGATAAATTGCTATCTACCACCTGGCCCTGTCTTGGACCTTTGTCCCACTCACTCTAAACCTTAGAAGTTTGGGCACCTTAGAGACTTACCTGTCTTTTGGGAAATTTCTAGAATATATTTTTTTTTTTGGTGTTAGGCAATGAGGTTAAGTGACTTGCCCAGGGTCACACAGCTAGTAAGTGTTACATGTCTGAGGCCGAATTTGAACTCAGGTCCTCCTGAATCCAGGGCTGGTGCTCTATCCACTGCACCACCTAGTTGCCCTAGAATATATTATTAAGGAATGGTTAAGGGAACATCCGAAAAGGAAGTGGTGATCACAAAAAGCCAGCATGGACATCAAGGACAGATCATTCCAGACTAAACTCACTTCTTTTTTTGGTCAGGTCAGTCAGTAAATAAACACTTGTTAAGTGCTTGCTGTGTTCCAGGCACTGTGCAAAGCACTGGAAATACAATGAAAGGTAAAAGACAGTCCCTGCTCTCAAGGAACTCATAGACTAATGAAGGAATAAACATACAAACACGGACAAACTAGATATGGGATGAATTTAAAATAATCAACAAAGGGAAGGCACTAGAATTAAGAGGAATCTGGAAAGGCTTCCTGTGGAAGCTGGGATTTATTTTAGTTGAGACTTGAAGGAAGCAAGGAGGCAGAGATGAGAGAGCATTCCAGGCATGAGTGGCAGCCAGTGAAAATTCCTCTAGTCAAAAAACAGAGCATTGGGGCAGCTAGGTGACACAGTGGATAGAGCACTGGCCCTGGATTCAGGAGGACCTGAGTTCAAATCTAGCCTCAGACACATAACACTTACTAGCTGTGTGACCCTGGGCAAGTCACTTAACCCCCATTGCCCAACCAAAACAAACAAAAAAAAAACCAAACCCAAAAAACAGAGCATCTTGTTCAAGGAACAAGAAGGAGATCAGTGTCACTGGATGCAAGGGTCCACGGGGGAAGGAGATAGTGTGTAGGGTATAAGAAAACTGGAAAGGTGGAGGGTGTAGGAAGCAGTGGGCATGGCAGGTTATGAAGGACTTGAATACCAAACAGAAGGTTTTATATTTAATCTTGGAAGTGAGAGGGAGCCACTGGAGGTTATTAATAAGGAAAATGACATTGTCACACCAGTACTTTGGGAAGATCACTCACAACTGAGTAGAAAATGGACTAGAGTGGTAGGACTTGTGGCAAGCAGACCAACCCAACAGGCTATTGCAATGGTCCAAGCATGAGGTGATAAGGGCTTGCTCCAGGGTGGTAGCAGTGTCAGAAGAGAGAACATGGAGTATGTAAGATGTTATGAAGGTAAAACCGACAGGCTCTGGCAATAATTAGGATATGATAGGTGAGAGACAGTGAGGAGTAAAGGATAACACTAGATTGCAAGCTTCAGTGACTGGAAGGATGATGGTAGCCTCAAAAGCAATAGAGAAGTTAGGGAGAGGGAAGGATTTGCAGGGAAAGATAAGTTTAGTTTTGGACTTGTTGAGTTTAGGATGTCTACATCATGGACAACCAGTTTGGGATGTCTAATAGG